GGACGATAGTGAGCCGCGAGTGTTAATAAGACATGTTGAAAGTGTCTTGTAATCCAACCCAGAGGGCGATAGGTGCCAGAAGAGAGGAGCAAACAAGGTGCTGTGAGCCCAGAGAAGGAGAGGATTTCAAGGGGGCGTCACAGAGAGGGTGAGGAACAGGGAGGCGAAGAGGAGGGCCGAAGGGAAAGGATATTCCCCACGGAAGGAAGAGTGTCCAGAAACAGCGCCCTGGAATGCCGGGCCAGAGTTTGGACTTGATTTTGTGGGTTGTGGGATAAGGCACCACCGGAACCTTGCTTTAGGGAGGTTACTCTGAGCAGAATGGGTTCCCCAGGGACCGGGAGAAACGGTGGGGGTCGGGTGGGACGAGAGATGAGCAGGCCAGTGGGAAGGGAGCAAACTGGGGCCTTAACGAGAGCAGTAAGAGCTCTTGTCTCATTATTTGGCAAACCGTGTGGGTGAAGCAATGAGAAAGATGGCCAAAGGGACAGGCCTGGGGTTAGGGAAGCCGTGAACAAAAGGTTGACTGATGAGCAGGTCTTGGCAAGGAGGGAAGTTCGGGTTGACCTTGTCCAGATGGGAAAGTCTAGTGGCAGCTCAGGAGTGAGCGGTGGTAGACATCTGACAGCCTAGAGGAGTTGGTAGTCAGGAGAAGGAAGCCGGTTTACAGGGAAAGACGAAGATCGTCTGCCTCACTGATTTAAACATGGAGTCAAGCCAACTGAACTCCAGAGTGTCCAAATAATTCTGAGTTAGGGCTGGGTCCGGGTGCCAGTTTAGGATTAGTGAAAATGAGTGTGTCAACCCCAAACAATTTCCTGGTGCTGTTACGTTGTTTCTGTGTCACCACATGTCTTCCCACAGATGGCAACACATTTGGGGATTCAGAGTCATTTCAGTATCATCTTTAAAAAGCCAGATTTGGGAAGGTAAATCTGTTTCTCAAGGCCAAAAATAATTCTTCAAGCCATTGTTTCCCCCCAGCCATGCAGGTGACAGGGAGGTGTGTCCACGGTGTGGTTGAGAGACTGGTGGGTGAGGGGACGAGGTGTCCCAGCTCTGGAGGAGCCTCCAGGGGTGGAGCGGGGCCAGGTGAAAGGCACTGGCATGGGAAAGAGTGTTGTTATATAACCCGAGGGAGCTCTGGATGGTGGGCAGATGGAGACGGGAGGCGAGGAATCTGGAGACGGCAGTGAGTGTGGTTCAGCTTCCTCTTGGAGGGAGAGGGACAATGCATGGAAGGCAGGTGAGCCAAGAGCCCAGGACCCCCTTTACAGGATGGGGAGGGAACCCCGCCGCACCTAACGGCCTCTCCCACATCTTTCCATCATGGCTCTGAGGGATACGATTGGAGGCTAGGTTGCCAGGTGTCCCAGAAGGTAGCACCAGGGATAGCCTTCTCCATGGGACTTGGGGAACAGAACTGTACCAAGCTGTAGGCCTACCGTCTTCACCTGCCATCTCGGAGAACTTTCCAGACACGGGCAGCCCTGGCCTCCATCTCACCAGGGGGGAGTAGAAAGCATGTGTTTACCTGATCTCTCTCACCCACACCCCATTCCTGATTACCCTGGTGGGTGAAGAGTGAAATAAAAATTAGCATGTTTATCCCACTTTTAAATTCTTTTAATGAGAACTCATTTACCCTCTCCCAATTTAAATTCGTAATAACGCCATAACCTTTCAGAGCTGATTATTACCTGCGTCTTCCCAGATCTTCCTAGTAAAGAGGCTTTCCCTCCAAATGCTCCTGAGCCTTCTCGGAACTTGACAATTTGTCGGGCAGTCAACAACATCTGGTGATCCCACACTGCGGCACTGCCCTGTGCTAGGTGCTCTCCCTAGGAGGGGAGGGAAAGGAATCCAGTCTCCTCTCTTCGGTGGTGGCCTCGGTTTCGTTAATTTGCCTTCAAGACTTTTGCTTGCTGTTCCACTCAGCATGGACCCTTCCCTGTGTCCCATTTCCTACCTGGGAGGCAATCACGGACTCACCTGGTTCTCTGCTCTCTCCTCCCATCTCCCAGGGGTCCCGGAACTAACTCCAAGCTGGTGTGCAAAGCCTCTGAGCAGTGGCCGGCCCAAGAGCTGGAGTCACCATGGCGGCGGGAGTGGCAGCCTGGCTGCCTTTTGCGCGGGCGGCGGCCATCGGGTGGATGCCAGTGGCCAACTGCCCCATGCCCCTCGCCCCCGCCGACAAGAACAAGCGGCAGGATGAACTGATCGTCCTCAACGTGAGCGGCCGGAGGTTCCAGACCTGGCGGACCACGCTGGAGCGCTACCCGGACACGCTGCTGGGCAGCACGGAGAAGGAGTTCTTCTTCAACGAGGACACCAAGGAGTACTTCTTTGACCGGGACCCAGAGGTGTTCCGGTGCGTTCTCAACTTCTACCGCACGGGGAAGCTGCACTACCCGCGCTACGAGTGCATCTCGGCCTACGACGACGAGCTGGCTTTCTATGGCATCCTCCCGGAGATCATCGGAGACTGCTGTTACGAGGAGTACAAGGACCGCAAGAGGGAGAACGCCGAGCGGCTCATGGACGACAACGACTCGGAGAACAACCAGGAGTCCATGCCTTCGCTCAGCTTCCGCCAGACCATGTGGCGGGCCTTCGAGAACCCGCACACCAGCACGCTGGCCTTGGTCTTCTACTACGTGACTGGCTTCTTCATTGCCGTGTCGGTCATCACCAACGTGGTGGAGACGGTGCCGTGCGGCACGGTGCCCGGGAGCAAGGAGCTGCCCTGTGGAGAGCGCTACTCGGTGGCCTTCTTCTGCCTGGACACTGCCTGCGTCATGATCTTCACCGTGGAGTACCTCCTCCGGCTCTTCGCGGCGCCCAGCCGCTACCGCTTCATCCGCAGCGTCATGAGCATCATCGATGTGGTGGCCATCATGCCGTACTACATCGGCCTGGTCATGACCAACAACGAGGACGTGTCCGGTGCCTTCGTCACGCTCCGGGTCTTCCGCGTCTTCAGGATCTTCAAGTTCTCGCGCCACTCCCAGGGCTTGCGGATCCTGGGCTACACGCTCAAGAGCTGTGCCTCTGAACTCGGCTTTCTCCTCTTCTCCCTCACCATGGCCATCATCATCTTTGCCACTGTGATGTTTTATGCGGAGAAGGGCTCCTCTGCCAGCAAGTTCACGAGCATTCCTGCCTCTTTTTGGTACACCATTGTCACCATGACCACACTGGGGTAAGTCTGTGCCGGTAGACCGGAAGAGGGTGGAGGTTGGATGGGTGGGAAACCGTGGATGGCATCAGGACTGGGCAGAGGAGTGGGGAGTCGCTTGGCCAAGTTGTAGGAGCAAGGGGAGTTGCCTCATCAGAAAAGGAAGGCACACAAGTGATTTGTTTGGGGGTGGTAGCTTGCTCTGAATTGAGTTTTCTTTTTGGGGGGGGCCATGCATTTTATACAACATGGAAAATCAAGCCGTCATTTGTCTTCTCAGCCATGCGTGCAGTGTGTTTTGGGGGGTGGGGTGAGTGGCTGTATTCTTACAAGCATCCGTGCTTGTAAGGGCTGTCACTGAGAGAGAAACGGGGCAGCAGGTAGGAAGGAAGAAGGCCGTGAGGAGTTCCGTGAGTGTCGTAAGGAGGGTACACATTTCCATTAACCAGAAGACACCGAGAGCACTTCTTCTGGACCCTTCCTGCATTTCTTCTCTGTAATATATCTGCAGGCTATTTCTCTGTTGCCTTCTCTTCTCTGCTGCCACAGATGCTCAAGGGTTCAGTGGATCTGAGCAGACTTTCTCTAAGTGACTCTGAACTTGTGTTTTCTGCACAGCGGGGCATCCGATTTGTTTTCTTCTCATGGAAGGAGTTGCAGTCTTGCTTCCTCAGCCCGACTCTGTGATTGAATGCCCCGGCCTACCTGGGCAACTCTGAGGTGGTCTGCACGGATCACGTGGTCAGACACAGAAGCAGCAATATCATCAGAGGGAGGGAGAGGCACTCAGCAAGGCTACGGGTGACTCTGTCTCTTCCATCTCCCCGAGGTCCCTTCTCCAGCTGAGGTCACAGAAATGTATTTATGGTGCTGGCATGCGAACTTTCCATCAGAGGAAGGGGCTCAGGAAGGAGATTGCAATCTTCACCCTAACAGGATTAGAGCCAACGAAGGCAGCTTTATGGAGACATGTATTTATTAGGGGTTTCTGCTTTGGGCGTTGCGAGTCACGGAGGCTAATGCAAAAATCCCTTTACAATTCATGTGCTGGGTCTGTATTTGCTTAGGCCAGGAAGCGTTATATTGCTGATGGAGAATTCATGAAGCTTTTTATTTGGTCTTTGACAATTCGGTTGGTGGCGTCCTGGTGATTCGATTTTTTTTTTCCTGGCCTGAAACCCTGCGGCACTGGTGTCGGTTTTTCCATAGTGCTGTGTGTGCTTATTGGGAATGACTGAGCAGGTGACGGGACCTTTTAAAATGATTACATTTGTCATTGTGCCACACGGGAGGGGGAGAGCAAGGGGTGTCATTGTCCATTTGTGGAGGCCATATTTGATGGGGGCATTCCCTTTGTCTCTTGTCGGTCTGACACAGGCCATCCTGCCCCTTCCTCTCCCTCCAGCACACACACAGTTCTTTGAGCAGCTGCTCACGCCCGGAGTGGGTAAGAATGTCTGGTCATCTGACCTTGTCTCTTGGTTTAGGTGGCAGATGTGGGCTTCTTGGCACAGCAGGACATTTAGGGATAAAGTGGCTTGGGGGCTGGCCACTGTATCAAGAGAAAGAGACACATTTACCCCTTCTAGGCTGACCCTGCCCATCCCTTCACTCTCCTGAAGGCGACCTCACCCATGGCCAAGACCTCCCTGGCCATGCTCCCGATGTGGCTCTGACTATCCAGTGTCCTTAAGTGCCCTCTGATGGGGACTCATGACACCAGAGTGATGCCTCAGGACTGCCATGGGGAGAAAACAGGGCAGACAGATGGATGTCAGAGTTAAAATGGGATCGTTTCAGAAGAGATCGATGGAAACTTCAGTGGCCACCTGCCTATTACTTTTTATTATTAGTATAACAGCATGTGTGTGTGTCTACCATGTGTCAGCAGTGCGCTAAGCACTTTGCATACATTATCCCTTGAAGTCTTCACAGCAGTCCTGTAAGGTAGGAAAAATGCCATACAACTTTGAAGACACAGAAAGAAGGCGAGGCTCGGAGAGGTCAAGTAGATTTCTGTAGTCATACAGCTGAGAAGGGGCAGCACTGGTTCTCCAAAACCAGCCTGACTGTCTCCAGTGCCCTTTCTCTGTCCACTCACCACTCCGCTTACACCCAGACTGTCGGGGACATAGGTGGAAGGCAGAGCCCCCCAGGGTTACTTCTTTTATATGATGGCCACAGAGTGTTAGTTTCTTCTAGTCACATCACTCTGCAAGAGAACATCAGTGCGGTGAGTACTACAGCCACTCTACTAGGCACACAGGGAATTTGTAAATAAAACATCTGCCTCTGGCCAGTTTAAAGACTGCCTTTGAAATTAATGGCTGCTTTCCTAGCAAAAGGCGCTGTTTTACTGTCGCTGGGGAGACCACTGATTTCCTTTAGCATTCACCCTGTAGATCAAGGGGTGAGTTCAGTGTCAGGGGACGGACAATCTTGGCCTCATATTTACTTTCTGAGGGAGGAGAGAGGATGGCAGGGAGCAAGAGGCCTCTGCCAGAGAGTGAAAGCAAAGAGAGAGGAAAGGGCACCTGCATGGGAAGTAGCATGCTTCCCCTGACTGCTGGCCCTGTGGGCTCCTCTCCCTGCTCTTCTGCATGCGTCGAAACGTCTAGCCTCTGGGAGGGGAAACGAATGAGCAAGAAAAGAAGCCTTCAGGAGTGTCTCCCCTAACCTCAGATAAGTAATGGGACAGCAGGCTTTTTCTTCCCCTCCGCCCTGGCTGGTGTAGTCTAATGCTCAATTGGACTACTTTGACTTTGACCTGAATTGGCAGTTGGAACCATCACCAGGCTCACTGCTTGGCTATACATAGCAGGTGCTTGGCAAAACGCTTTTTAATGGATTGGTCGATGTGAATGGGGTGCCTATACCATTTGCCTGACCTGATACTGTTCTCAGTCCTTTCCAGACCTGCCTTTCCTCTTTCTAGGGTGGACCTAAGATTTGGGCTCTGTCCCAGCCCTGGGCCCTGGGGGCAGAGGAGGGCAGCCTTCGCTTGGTGTCTGGTCCATCTCCTGAGACACTCTGCATTGTGGGCGTCTTCTTGTCCTTCTTGAAGGCCTTCCCAACTCGACCCTGGCTGGTTCCTGTCCTGAACAGATTCACTGGCTAGTCGTAGGCTTAAACTGCTCCAGAAAACCCTTCTTTTTCTTACTGACTGCTGGGATTTGAGCCCCCAAGTGGCTGTGGAATACCAAAGGCCAACATTCTGCCATAGTCCACGTTCTGTACGGCTGCTTCCAACAATTCCCAACAGACACTTAGTTTTCCCCATCTCCAGACCCTCCCTGCCCTGATTCTGCCCTAAGTTCCCGTTTCCGTCTGGGAGAAACTTTCTTTAGCTTCTTTGCAGAGCAGGGCTGACCTACAGGCTGCAGGGCTGGGCCTAGGGCTGATGTGCCAAGTGGAGTTCACTCTTCCTTGCTCCAGTTCCCATCTCTGCCTGCTTTCCTAGGACTCACTGATGAGTTACTCAGGTGTCCTCCAGGGAGGGATCTCCTGGAACCAATTATTTCTGTTTATTTAATATCTCAAAATACCTTAAGCACATAGAACAATAACAGCCCATCTGCCACCAAGGCCTGAGGATGGCTTTCCTTTGCACCTTCCTCTGCTGGTGGGGAAGACCCCCATGGCCAGTCCAGGTTTCCCTTATGCCCCCTTGACAGTTGAGCTCCCAGATGCACCATGAAAGGATTAATTTCGGTGCTCATAATTGATGCTATAAATAAAATCCTCAATTATCTCAGTTAACCGAGGGAAGGGATAACACAGAACTCCCAATATTAAATAAGACCAACACACCCAGTTTGTGAATGTATTCTATGTTGTAGATTTTTTTTTTTTTAAGCAGATTTTCCTTCTTAATTGTGTTTGACTTTGCTCAGCATCACGATTGGCCCAGACTGTCTGAGTCAGTCCGTGGGTGAAGCTCCAGTTCAGCGTGGGGAAGAGAGGATCGTGCACAAGGAAAGCGTCACAAGAGAGCACCCATCAGGGCCGTCGAGGGCCAGCTCCGAGACTGGATGGGATGAGGCTCTCTTGGCTGTCTTGGGGAGGGGGGGACAGGCTTGGGAAGGGCACAGAGCAGCATCGCTCCTGGTAAGATGGCCTGCTGCTGCCTGCTTGGCTTGCTTATGTAATTGAGACTGCCAGCCTATCTGTCACCCCATGCCCCGAGATGAGAGAGCTTTTGACAGGGTCCAAAAATCCCTTTAACGAAAACAGAATCGATTTTTACTTCTTCCAAGCATGAAGCAGCCTCCAGGTGATTTGCATTTCCCTTTAAAACCTAATCCTGGAAGGGGCCTGCCCGAGGTTTTGCGAGACTGGGGCTGGCCCTGGACAATCAATACAGGCACACCACAGAATGGGGTACTTGGTCAGGCTGACCCCCCGACCCAGTGCCAGAAGTGAGGCCAATCTGGGAACTGGTTAACCCTCAGTTCCCAAGATTCTGGCTGCCCTTCTTTCACTGCCTCGAGGCCCACCAACCCTCTTCCCAACTCCCAGTTGCCTTGGCCTGGGACCCTGGCCAGCCGTATCTACCTGGGTGGTGGCGTGACCCTGCCCAGGGGGGATCTGGTCATAGCATGCTTACTGGGAAGGAATGACCCCATGCTCTTTTCTTGGTTTGACACTTCTTACCCAACAGTTCTCTGGTGCTGCAGTTCCCAAGAGAAGATACAGACCCACATCTTCACAAGAAATCTTGTATTCATTCCACGTTTATTGAGTGCCTACTGTGTCCCTACCGCCTGAGAATACAAAGCGCTATGATTGCACCCCAGCCTAGCATCAGGTCCAGACAGAATGAATTGAATGAGACTCACTGCTTTTCCTTTGAGCCAAAACAGGAGATGGTAGGTAGAACAGTGGACCAAAGGTCAGAAAAAGAGGACTTTATGCATACGCTTCCTGCCACTCCAGAGATTGCCCCCCATCTGCTCTGTGTCTGGCCAACTCCCATCATCCTTCAAAACTCAGGCCCACACCATCTCCTCCAGGAGGCCTTCTTGCCACCCCTGCTACCAGGGTGTCCTAGGTACCCGTCCTCTTCCTTCCCATTGTGGCCTTACATACCTCTGTCTTGTCAGCTGCCATATTTTATTAACTTTATCTGCATATGTGTCTCTCTCGCAGGATGTGAGCTCTTCAAGGGCAGATCTCTGTATTCCAGAGATCATTGTATGGCCCGTGCCTAGCTCAGGGTCTCACTAGATATCTGTTCAACCAAACAGGTTAGTAGCCCAGCTTACCTCTCTTCAGTTTTCTCATCTGCTAACCATCCCCCGGCCGTTTTAAGAACCGGTTGGAAGTGCTGTCCAAATGTTAGCCATATTGTCATCTCAGACAAATCTCCATTTGTGGGCAGGTTGGAGATGGGGAGGCCAAGCAGGGCGTTCTCTGGTTCTGACGTCAACCTTAGCACAGTTGGGCCTTTCTTGCACAGGAAGCTGAAACCCTTCTCCTTCACCGTTTTGGGCTGCGTGGCCATGCCTCCCACTGCAGACTCTGGGGTCAGGGAGGAGCAGAAGGGGAGCCATAGATAAGCACCCCCATCCATGAAATTTTCCTCCATCCAGTTATTTCTGCAGCACGTATTTATTGAGTAGTCACTAGGCGATAGGAATACAGAAGCCAAGACAATAGTCTGTGATGTCATGGAGCTTACGTTCTGGTGGAGGAGCCCAGACGGTAGATACATAAACAAATCCATTCTATCAAGCAGCAGTTCATGCTACGGAGACAAAGCATGGTGCGATCAACAGGGAGTAATGAATGTGGGAAGGTGGGAGAGCCAGGGAGAGTTGCCATTTTACATGAGGAGCGCAGGTGATACTTGAGCAGAGACCTGAAGGAATGTGGGCAGCTTAGGGAAGAGCATTCCAGGCCAAGAGAACAACAAATGAATGCGAAGGCCATCAGGCAGGAGAGGCCTTGGTGCTATTCTTGGAAGAGCTAGACGGTCTTAATGGTCAAGCTGCAAGAGCAGAGCCCGGGTATAGGAGGTCACTGGGGAAACAGCTCATGCAGGGCCCTCGCGACCAAAGACTTGACCCTTTGCCCTTTACTCTGCCTGGAATGGGAAGCCACTGGAGGGTGCTGAGTAGGTCTCACTTAAGTTTGAAAAGGATTATTCGGGGGGCAGCTGGGTGGCTTAGTTGGTTAAGCGTCTGACTTCAGCTCAGGTCATGATCTCACAGTTTATGAGTTTGAGCCCGCATCGGGCTCTGCACTGGCAGTGCAGAGCCTGCTTGGGATTCTCTCTCTCTCCCTCTCTCTCTCTCTCTCTCTGCCCCCCTTCCGCTTGCATGGATGTGCTCTCTGTCTTCAAAATAAATAAGTAAACTTAAAAAAAAAATGAAAAGGATCACTGTGGCTGCTGGGGAGTGAATGCTTTGTAGGGGGAGAAGCTACCATCATAGTCCAGGCAGCAGATGATGGTGGCTGGGCCAAGGGTGCTGGTGGCGGGGAGGGGAGAGCTGAGACATTCTGCATGTACGGGAAGGCAGGGGCAAGAGGAAGCCATGCTGGTCCCGCTTCTACCGCACCAGCGCCAAAAGCTCCCGTAGCAAAAAGCCGAAAGCTCCTGTAGAGCAAGCACTGGCCCAGGAAGATATGGTCCTCAAGACTTTCCTCACCCCTGGGAGAAGCATTTCACAAGAAGGCATGAACCAAGCACCTGCCAAGGACTGGACACCCTCTCACCACCATGGGGGACAGTCTTGGCTCAGAAACAGGAACAGGTGACTCAGAAAGTCAGTGGTTGTGAGAGCGGCTGAGACAGAGAGGCGGGCAGGCGGTCAGGGCTGCAGATGGGGGACAGGTAGATTCACACGGGTAGGATATAGGAGACTTTGGGTGCTTCACACTGGAACCGTTACGTTAGGTTGGTTTTCCAGTCCAGCAATTCAAACTGCTGCAGTTTTTGGAAAGGGATTTTCGGGCTGGTGCCCATTTCGCAGCTCTCCTCCTCAGTCTCTCAAAATCAATCTCAATCTCTCTCTCTCCCTTTCTCTGTTTGGTTTTGTTTGGGTTTCCCTCTTTAAACACACCCGTAAACACAAACTTGATTCTTCCTGAGGAATAGCAATTATTCTGCCGGAAAATAGTGTAAATAAAAGGCAGGCTGGCCCTCCCTCCCCTCAGGGGAGGGGCAGAAGCCCTCAGTAACTACTAGAGCATTTTTGTGTCTCTCATCCAGCGGGGGAGCTCCTGTTCTGGGGCCCAACAGGGCCCTTGTGCACATGCTGTCATGACTGGAAGGCCCCCCTTCCCCTTCCCCTTCCCCAAGCAGGGAGAGGAGCAGAGACTTGGCTGTGAGTCTCCTGGCCCCTGGACACAACCAACCCCTTCCAAGAAGCTGACACCTGTACTCCAGTCGTCAGTGTTCATCCTCTGGTGCTATCCAAGCAGTTTTTTCTTTCTTTCTTTCTTTTTATTTATTTATTTATTTTTTGGAAGTAGGGACCAGTCCCCCAGCAATCTCTTTTGGAAGAGGTGTTCTATAGTGACCTCAGACCAACTTCCAATGAGGACCTGTTTGTGACAAGGAGGAAGGAGTTACCGCAATGCCTCGGAGCACGCAGAGTTCTCGGCCAGAAGGCTCAGATACCGTGCCCTCCAGGTTGAGTCCAGTGCTGGTGCCTCTGTCCAGCTTGCATCCAGGCCAGAACAGAGGCCCAGCCTCCCCCGCCCTCCACCCGGCACAATGCAAATGATGGGTGAGTGGGAAGGTGGGGGACAGGGAGGGAAGACAGCTCAGCCTTTGCTGACCACAACTGGATGGAGGAAGATTGCATCTCGCTCATGTAATCATATTCCGGGTGTCAGGACTGGAATGAGCGTCATTAAACTGAATCAGAAAAATCGTTTTAATATAAGTGCCACCTCACACACAAGCTAGTTGATGGAGAGATGGATGAGGCTGGGGACGCCTCCTTTGTAATGTGATGCTGTAAAATCCCATCACCTTCATTATTTCCCACGGAGCCAACGCATCATAATACCCATGAGCGGCAGAACAGCTTGAATTTAATATACAGAAAGTCCAATCAAACAATAAATGGATGGAACTATATAAAGAAACCATTTTCTGGGAGGCTGGCTCCATTCTCTGGGACTCAGCTCCCTGACACATGAAATGTGCATCAATTTTCCCCAACTCATGCAGCTGCCGAATCACCACATGTGATATTTGTTTGCTTCCAAAGTGGAAGCGGGGAACTCTCCCCCCCTACATTATCTGGCTATCGATGCAAAATTGCAAACCTCGTTTTCTTTGATTTGCATCCAGTGGTTCCCGGTGGCACAGCGAAGGCACCATCCCGATGCCAGCCAGACTGGAAGCACAGCCCCCCCTCCGTCCCAGGACCTTACTCAGTCCCAGTGACACTTTGTCGTCGTCCTTAAACAAAAATCTGGACACCGGATTCGGGACACCAGACTGGGCTGCCGGGGGGCTGGGATGTCTCCACCCTTGCAGTCATCTGAGAGAAACTGGCCAAAGCCCTCACTGTGCTGACACACGCTGTGTGCCTGTGACGCTGGGACCATCCGGTCTTGCCTTGGGGTTGTGCGGAGCAGACGTTCCGTCCCAGGCTGGACCCGGCCACCAGCATGTCTTCCGTCTTTCCTTCTGTCCCTCTTACCCAGCCGGCCATCCGGACTGTGGAGGCAGATATCAACCTGACTGGCCACGCAGGGTTGAAAAGGCAAATCAGCTCCTTGACGGCTACACAATACATATCAAAGACTGATGGCGATAATGTTTTTATGCTTCTGGTGGGAGATTCCCTCCAGCACTGTCTCCAGTACCATGGGTAACTTAGGGTTGACCATAATTACAGGCTTATAGCTGCTGAGAAGTATCATTAGTTTATTTTTACTTCTTCCTGGCCGCGCCTACTTAAGCAGAAAAAATAAGTAGAATTTAAACGAAATGATACTAAAACGACAGACAGCACGCATCTTGATTCAACCCAGCAGATATCCTTGAGCAGCTAGTATTTGTGACGCACCCTGTTAGGCAGTGTTGGGGAAATAGAAATAACTAAGACTTCGCTCCTGTCCTAAGAAGTTTGATGATACAGCAGGGGATTTGAGTGTGTTTATGAGCAGACAGGCAAGGATGGGGCATGTTCTGGAGCGATCGGGAAATATTTGGCATGGAATGCTTAATAAATATTTGCTGATGAATGAGTGACTGGCTTCACGGAAAAGGTGACATTTCAGCTAGACCAACAACAGTGGGTAGGATTTTGAGATGCGGAAATGGGAAATCCAAGTAAATTGCAAAAGGGCACGGTGCTCGGGAGCTTACCCAGTGCGCTGGTTTGCTAGTGTTTAGGGTATATGAGGGAAATGGCTAGAGATAAGCAGGAATAAAAGGCTTGCTGGAGACACAGAGGACCTCAAATATTAGGCTAAGGCATTTATCTGGGAGGCATTAGGGAGTCACTAACGGCGTTCCGGTGTCGCAGTGATTAGGAAGATCTGAAGCCATCTTCTGGTTGAATGTTAGAGGGGGCCCTTGCCCACTGTGCGGCCAGCCAGCAGTCTGATCCAGGAAAGAGGTGAGGAAGGCCTGACGTGGGATGGTTGCGGTGGAAAGGGACAGAAAGAGGTAGAGTGGAAAGACATCCAGGAGAAGAGAAGTCAAAAGTAACTCTGGAATTATGACGCCGGGTGATTAGAGATGGGGAGGTGGCACACGTCATGGGGGGAACAGTTTGGCAGGAGGGCAAGGGAGGGTAGAGACAGTAAACTTGGCTTTGGACCTTCTCTACTTGCAGTTGACTCTGGGCAGCCTTGAGGCAGCCGGCAGGGTGGTGGGAAGGTGGGTCTAGAGATTAACACAGAGAAGGGGGCCAGGCCAGCAAGGCAGTTTTGGAATGGGGTGAGGCAGGGAATCGATGAGATTACCAAAGAAAACCGAAGGGAAGGAGGAGGAGAGGCCCCACTTCTCTGGCACCCTGCCCCCTTCAGAAATGTGGAAGCCACCCGTGAATGGCTTCTAGGACACCTCCATTCAGCCTCTGTCCTTGGCATGTGGCTGTTCCCTGTCATACTGTGTTTCTGCTGGGGCCAAAAGGTCATATTGGTTTTCTGAGTCAAATAAGGTTTTCTTTTAATCTCCTACAATGATAATTAAATAAACAGTGCTGACCCAGGAAGGCAGAATTGGCTTATGGGCTTTGCTAAAAATAAATAAATAAATAAAAGGATCCTCACATTGGCATGTGGATAGGATAGGTGGGGTCTGAATGGTCACAGAGCAACGGCCATCTGTGCCTGGCCCAGGGCGGTGCTAACTGGGAGTGCCACAGCCTCTGCAGACGGCTCTGTCCTGGTCCCTGAAGTGCCAGACCCCTGAGCAGAACCTCTGGGGACTAAAGACACTGCCAGTACTCCTCCTCCCCCTCTTCTCCTCTGAGAGAAATGTCGGACACACTCCTGGCCTCCCTGGGAACCTCCTCTGGCCTGGCCCCTCCCGGAGACACCTGTCTGGGGCCCGTGGTCAGCAACTGGCCAAGTCATGGCTCAGAGATTTAGCAAACATGCACCGAGCCCTGGCTATGAGCAAGACTGGGTCGAGGTTGACTGGGGAGGCTGTGAAGAGAAACGGGGGCGAGGACTACATCCTGTGGGGTGGGTGCTGGGCTCCCATTCTGTATATGAGAAGACCGAGGCTCCGAGGGTGTAGGGAACTTGCCCCACTGAGGTCTTCTGACTCCTTTAGAGTCCACTGCTTCTTAAAGAGCTTCAGTCCCGTAACGGAGATACCCTGTGGGCACAGAGCTGTGTTTCTGGGTTCAGCAAGGTAAGTGGTATGAGTGAAGGGTAGTAAAGTGTGAGGGGAAGGTGGAGGAGGCAGGAATCAAAACGCCTTCTCGGAGGAGGTGGCATTTCAGCTGTAGTGGAAAAGTTAAATGTGCTCGTTCCTTATTTATTCAGCAAATATTGTGGGTCTACACGTGCCAGGCTGTGTGCTGGGGACTGAGGAGGTACTCACGAACAGAACGGCCAAATCCTCGGAGGCCGGCATTCTCACCGGAGCAGCAGACAATAAACAAGTGAATGTATAAAATGAGAATGTAAGGTTGACATAAAAGCCAAGAAAAAAGAGAGAAAGCTGGTAAGGGGAGAGAGAGGGAGGGCATCGGCTGGACTGGGGTGAGGGTTCA